TTTTTTTTAGGATCTCAAATTTCAGCTTCTACTTTTCTACTTTTTATTTCTTTTTGCAAATCAGCTCAACACTTTTTTCGCTATCATTTTCTGGGGTGGGCCGTAATTCTCGCTGAAATTGTAGTTTTTTTAATGTAGTGTAGGACCTACAAACACTAGTCTTTTTCTTCTACCCGCGACCCCCCGTGTAAGGCTTCGCGACCCCCAGGGGGTCGCGACCCACAGGTTGAAAAACACTGATATAAAGTACGAGTATTTACATGAGATATTCTCATATAAGACAAAGAATAATAAGAAAATTCAATAAATTGAGAGATAAACTTCATTTTTAGATGAGAGCTTGACATTTGCAGAATAAAAGATAAAAATTTATAGTAAAAATTTAAATCATCTTCCTTTTCAAATCCTGAAATTATTTAGTATAACAAAAAATTGATTACTATAAATAAAATCATAGAAAAAAAATCATCATAAACTACTGATTTTTGAATTTAGTAGAATTCAAATGTTTGTAGTTTTTCTTTAATTTTGATCTTTAAGCATAAGAATGTAAAACTTATTCAACTTATTAATAAGAATAATTTTAAAATTAGAAATGATTTATGTAAGTTTCATATTTAATTACAGTAAGACCTGTGTAAACCGGACTCCCACATGGTATCGAATATATTTTCCGGTGTGGCAGTTTTCCGTTTTGAACAGGTTTTACTGTAATAAATATTTGTAATTTTATTTTGTTTAATTCCAAAAAAATCCAATTAAACGATTTCCAAATTTCTTTTGTAACATACTTAATAATTAAAATAAAAAATTGGCCGATGGTATTTACATAAGTATTTATGTTACACTTATATATTCTCCAATAACATTTAACTTTACCTTCAAAAATTATGCCAAATGTTAACTAATCTCAGATTAAAAAGTTTCTGGTCCCACTTGAAATCAAAAAATGCCTATTTTGATTTTAACTTCTTTCTTGGGATATGTGTAAGTCGCGGTAATCGTGACTTGGCGTGAAATTTCTAATGAAACACGAATTTTGAGAATTTATCATTTTGCAAGAAATAGTTCGACTGGATTATTATTTACACGGATTCGAAAAGGTCCAATCTAAAATTTGTACGTTTACATTTAAAATATCCGTCGTAACACTACGGCGCTATAAAACGATCAATCGAATTCGATCGGAATCTGATCAAAACTATAAAAATTAAAATAAAACTGAGGAAAATTTCCCATCTACAGGGAAGTAAGGGAAGAATTACGCATTCCGTTTCTTTGAATAAATATTGTTTGTTGGTTTTAACCATTTTGTGTATATGAAAGGAAACTAGAACTAAACAATTTAAAATTAATAACGGACAGTAGTCGTAGTTAATAACATTTTTAGTTAGTGCTCGTATCGCATGTTTAAGATGCACGAAGCAAAAAATATTATGCTTAGAATAAAGTAAAAAAAAATTCCACGCTAATAATGAGAACCTGTTCTGCTTTACATGCAATGATGATGTTATTCACATCAGGAAAGATAGGTTACAAAAACATTTAAAGTCTGAGAAACCGTGAAGGATAGAAGAAAAAAATATCATTTTCTTTTTTTTTGAAAAAAGGAGAAAAGTAGAATTTGGGTTCAAACTTGGTAGGCAAGTTTTAAATTTGCAAAAGGCACTTGGAGCTAATAGATGCTTTTACATCAGTTCACATCCCTTTGGAAAAACTAGACTTTTCTAAATTACGAGAATTTTTTAAAAAGAATATCCCAGTGGTACGCTGTCATTGGTGAACAAGTTGAGACAAGATTTATCTGCCAGTTTTAGAGAAAATTAAACAAGATTAGCTTCCGTTATAAGCTTCTTTTAGTCTAACTTTTTGAGTGTTGTTACAGATGATAATAGTGACTTTCAAGATTTTATTTGTGCTGCTGTCAAAGGACAACAGTGATTGTTTACAATTTTACAATACTACTTAATAGTGAGTGAATGTTTGTTTGGATGCTGTAAATACCACAACAGTTTCACAATCTACACGAACGTGAATCAAACTGTGCAAGTATCGGGATTTGTCACGGATAATCCAACCTATATGGAAAAATATTTGAAGCACTGAAAATATTTTCAAACTGTGTTCATATGATGTGCAATGTGCGCAATGTTACATTAGTGACGAATGTTTGGCAAGCTCATTTTACTGTGGTCGACAGGTTTGTAGCATGTGTGTGAAGACAGCTTTAAACACTGCCACAGCAGGAAAATGACACACTGTATCCCAGCTTCTCAATAACAATCACTTCGAAAAAAATTGTTTCCTCTGGAATATGTAGTGACTTAGTGGAATACATACAGGGTGGGTGAAAAATAACTAGGCATTGAGAAATCTTTATTTTGTAATAATAATACAATCATAATAAAATTTGTATGTGCATGTACATAAATCAATGGAATTTTATACTTCCCGCATCAGTGGTGTGGGCAATGACCGAGAAAGGCTGCACGCAGTGGAAAAAAACAGCCAACCACTTGTCAGTTTAGGAGCGAGCGCAAATTTCTTCACGCTATGAGATTTGGAAATCAGTGCTTGCTGTGCAGTGATAGTGGCGTACGGTAAAGGTACAGTACATCATGCCACAATTTATCCAGAAACAATCAAGAATTATCATCCGAAACTAAAATGACCATGGATTCGGTTACGGACGCATAAAGGCGTGGCTATTCATTTAACTTACATCACGATCTAAGGAAAACGTCTCGTTGGTAGATGCGATAGTGATCCATTGACTTTTAATATATGCATCTGTATTTAATAAGATATTGAACATGACAAGCAATTTTTATCATCTCTGCGCTAGCGATATACAAATTATAGTGATTTCTAGATGCCTAGTTATTTTCCATCCACGCTTTAGTTTGTGGCAATTAGTTACCATACCAGATACTTTGAAATGTACAAGCGTTTCACAGAAATGGAACGTAAAATCACTCCTGCAACAGCTATGATGAAAGAATTAGAAAAGATATTTAATGACAAATTTCTTTTAGAATATATAAAATTTATTGCCGAGCATGTTTCTAGACTACAGTCGCTCAGAATCTAATATGAAGCTTGTAAAGTGAAAATTAAGTATATGAAAAAATAAAAAATAATGTATTGGATTGGTTCCATGAATAAATAAACCAGCATGAGTTGCTCAACCTTACCGGAAATAGTTAAAATTTTGGTGGCACCATCTGTTATCATATTTTATTAAAAACTTTTTATATTTTTTACTATTATAAAACGGCAAAAGGCTTAACTTTGAAAACAGAGATGAGTTTTATAAAAAATTGGAAATGTTAATAACTTGTAAAATCGTCATTAAGTTTGACCCTATGGAGATACACGCAACCCTCTACTTCCCACCCTCTCGACATTTAATCACCAAAATTTAGTAGCATCAATCTCCCTAATAAACAAACCTCCCTGCAAAATTTCAGAAAATTTTGACAAAAAGCACAGGAGTTAAGCTTCAAACAGGGTGAACAAAACGTGCTCACCCACACACACACAATCTAACATCCATACATACAGAAATTACCTTCGAATTTTTTTGTATTTCTCGACGTTTCAAAGTAACCTAAGTCAAAAAATGTAACAATCGGGGGGGGCATATTTTGCCTAATCGCCATACTTTTTCTCTGTTATATATAACAGCCGATAATATAAAAAAAAGAAATATTCCTGTTCTCTACAAAGAAAGAAATTCTTACAAGAAGTATTTTTTGCAATCATGGACAAAGCACGCTAATCATCATTCCCATGAGTTCGACAACGCTATCATTCTATACCGTTTCAAATGGCGTTCCAAATTTTAATCGGCCGGGTATGCTGTTGCAAAAGATTTCCCATATTTTTGACTCAATGTACGCATTTATGCTAAAACAGAATCTTTTCCAAGTTCGACATTTCTTTTATAGGTAACATTTCCGTCTTTTCATTACAGGTTTAAATCTCACTACTTCAAATATGTCCACTAGATAAATGAATCCATCCCAGTTGTAGTGTTTTGGAAAACGCCAGCTACTGCTGAGAAATTTGCTATTCTTCCAATTTGGCAGCCAAATATTTAGATAAAAAGAGATCATACATTTGAAAGGACCAAAAAAAATGTAAAAATTAAAAAAGTAAATTTATCAAAATTAAAACAACTGAAACATATAAATTACTAGAAACTACGATTGCATCAAAAATAAAGTTAAGTTTAAGTTGTAATTTTCATCTATATTTAAAATAAGATTTTTGTACCTAAAAAGTAAAGAATCGTAATTGTTAAAAGAATGTATGATATATATTTAGTAGTAAATTAGTAGTAAAAAAAATATATGTTAGTTTTGCGAAATATAATTAAATTAAATGATGATAGGAACGTATTGATCGTGTAAACCAGGGATCACCAAACTTTTTTCACAGCGGGCCAGATAACAGAGAATGACAAGCGCGGGCCTCATAACCATTTTGTTCAATACAGCATACTGAATACGTAAAAAATAAAGACAACCAACATATTTTACCTATACACAAACACGATGGCTGCAGCAAGCCCTTACTTCTTAGAAACTTCATTGCAGGTACTGTACTTACACAAAAAGTGC